ATTTTTTTAATCACCATTCGATCTTTCAACCTAATTAAATCGTTAATTAAATCGTCCTTCACGATTGTTATACGGCTCTACAAATGCTGGATTTTTTTTCTGTCAACGCTCTTTAGACGTGAAGACAGAAAATCTATCGCTAAAGAGGTCAGAATAAAATATCGCAAAAATCACCTATAACACGCAGCGAATCCAAGTCGGAGTTTCGAAAGACATTTCGACAAGCTGACGGGGTGGCTCTCGAGATATTGAGAACCCGATGAGTCCCGAGCACCGGGATTTCGTGGTAGCGCAGCGAAATTTCCGGGAAGCGAGGTCATTTCGCGCCTTTTGCCAATTGCAACTGCGCACGTGTGACGCCGATCTCGCCGCGAGGCGTCGCACGGCACTTTTCACGCACACACAGCTATATCAACTTGTATCCGGTGATGCGCGGCGCACCTGATTAGTGCTCTGCGAGCACAACGGAGAGCAGACGGGACAGGAGCGGAGCAGAGCGGAGCGGGAGCGGAGCCAAAGCTGAACCGTGCGGGAGCGGAGTGGGAGGTCGGGGAGGTCCAGTCACCTCACCAGTGTCAGAGTGTCCGGCCCTGACGCGAGACGTCGATCGATCCCCCATCACGCTGTGTCGTTTCGTACGTGGTATACGTCGCGTGATTTCATGATGTAGCGCCTAGGCGGGTGATCTCATCCCCGGGGTAGGCAGAGAGATCGTCGCAGCTGACGCGGATCGCGGCTCACGGTAATCCGCTCGCGTCTAATCGAAGTCTATAACAAACGCGGCCTCGCGCGACGATCGTCCTCCTTCTCTGCAAGAGAAAGAGAGAGAGAGAGAGAGAGAGAGAAAGCTCCGCAGCACACAATCTCAGGTATAAATTTCTAAATTTGTGTTTATAAAGTAAAAACATGTTACATTTCCTCTTGATTTTTTATCGCAAATTCTTAAGATCTTAAGATTAAAAAAACACCTAATGGATAATATAATGGCAAAAATACTGGAAAGCATTTCGAATTATCGCACGCACGATTAGACAGATATGCATCTAACAGACAAGGGACATTTGCAAGGTCCATCTTCTCAGAATCTACGAAAAATGAGACCGTGTGGCGTCTCGGTAATTCACTAATTCGTCCGGCTGAGACATTTTTGAACGAAGCCATCCTAAATCAATAGTAATCTGGAACCATGATGTTTCATTGTGACTGTGTGAATTTATCTTTTCTAAACCTTTTCAGTGTAAATCTGAAGAAACGTTCTAGATATTAAAGAAAAGATAATTAAACACCATATTTCATAAATTATGAATTATGTATTTCTAAAAAAAAACAAATTTTTTTATATCAAGTAATCCATACCAGTAGTGTTTAAGAAATTATAATATTTTGCAGAAGAAATCATCGAATATTGAAAATTATTTGAAGAATATAATAGTAATTTATAAGTTGGAGAATTTATCAATACAGTTTGTCTTGTCGCGAGTTCGTGCGACTTGGTATAGTTCGATAAAACGAGGTAACGAATCTCCGCATTGATTTAGTCGTACAGAATGTTTGCCGCCATCTGTATAAAGGCGTGGGTGTTCGATCTCGTCTCTGCTTGCCCTCATAGGCGGCTTTATCATGCAAATATAGTATCGATACTAGGTTGTTGTGACGATAAAAAAAAATAGATTTCTCAAAGTGCTACTCCAATATGACTAATAAAGCCGTCAAACAAAATCACTGAATCACGGAATACATGATTTATATTGTCAAGTTGTAGTACTGATATACATGTATAAATATATATACTAAAATACAAATTTAATTTATATACTGCGTGAATCCGATTACATATTTCCTAAGATATTTATGCGCATTATTATAAAGAAACATCTTTATTTTTACAAATTACGTTAGAGTTAGACGTTGACGAACATATGTTTAAAACGACTACAATAGTTCATTATAAAACGATGCAGAGGATTTCTTAAAAATACAAGATAACGTAGACAGACGGTAAACTTAATAACAGAACGTCTGTTAGAATTTATAAAAGCATCATATAAAAAGATAATTCTATTATAATTCTTTGCAGTCGTTATCACCAATTTGTAGTATTAAACAATTTTAAAAAGAATTAATTTAAAAAAATCAGCTCTTTAATGCTCCAAAATTAAGAAAAGATTATCCGAAATGATTTCGTTAATTTTAAGGTAAAAATACACATTAATGAAAAAATAATATAAACAAATATTAACACAGTTAATAAAAATAAATAAAAGAAGAGAAGAGCACGCGAACCAAGCTGATTGTCTTGTGCTTTGTAGAAACTTTAAAATTGTCTCATGATTTAATAATATGTATACAAACGTTTTAACTTTCGATTAGACTTTCAACCATTTTCAATTTTGAAATTGTACAGGTCGAAATTATGTATTAATGGAATTCTAAAAATTGAATTTTTGCAAATAGAATTGAACTAACAAATTTTTCTAAGACTTTCAAATTTTCAAAATGTGTATTCCTAAAGATTCTGAATTCATAAATATTATCTTGCCAATTCAACGTAGAAGAGAAGAAGAAATGAATGATTTCATCAATAAATTTCTCAACTGTGCTACTCATTATAGCTCTACTGATTCTCATTTTTCTTAAATATATACTATTACATATTGCAAATTGTCAAGATACAATTTTAATTGTAATATAATTTTTTTTTCAATAATAATTTTATTTTTAAAAATAGAAGATAATAAAAAAAATAAAATAAATATACAACAAGTTAAAGTACAGTTATTAAAATCAATATTTATTATTAATATAAATATTAAAAATGACAAAATGTTTCTCCTGTATTAAAGTCTTCTTTGTTGGTAAAATAAAAGAAAACAATTGTTTTATATAAAAAATATTTTTTATATATTTATATTTATTTATTTAAAAAGAATAAAATAAATTACATATTACGGACATCCTTAACCTTACGGATACTTGTAATATATAATTTATTTATAATTATACCGCTGAAAAACATTTTAGTGCAATCAAAACGTTTCGTCATCTTTTAATACTTGTGTAAATAATAAACATCTATTTTAATAACTGTATATTTGTTCGTCATAATGATCTCTCTTCGTTATCTTCTATTTTAGAAAAAAAGCAATTGTAGTTAGAAATTTAATTTTTAATTTTTACATTTAAATTTCAAAAAGAAAGCTGCTCGCTCCAAAATCTGAGATCTGCTAAATAAACTAAGTAAGTGCAGCGCATACATTTATTCATATCGCACAAATGCGATTCGGAGCTGTTTTCAGGAATTTGCAGTGATGAACACTTTGAAAAATCCTAGCATACTTACAGAATCATGAAGAGTTACGTAATTACGATGTTGAAATGTATTATACAGATTTTTAATGCTCATTGCCGTAAGCTTATCTCGTTCTGAAACACTTTAATCCTTAGCGCGCGATTTCCCCGTAGCTTCCATCGTAAATAAAGATACGGAATCATTTCGCGAATTAAGTGAGCAAAAATTAAATGACCTCATACGTTTGCATATCTAGACTGATTACGACATCGTTCGGCTCCTCATTTGCGTGGATTCATGCTGAGATGTATGAAAT